GTCACCTAAGGCCACCTGAGAATTTAGGAAATAGTATATGGTCAGTGGGGGAAAGGGAGGATCATTAAGCAGTGGTGTGATAACTGGCTAACCGTGTGGGAAAAATTCAGTGACAAGCTTACTTCACACCTTCCACCAAAATTAATTTCAAATGAATTAAAGATATAAATGTAAATGATGAAAACGTGCTAATATAAAATATAAGGGAATGGCCGAGGCCGGTTTGGCTCAGTGGATAGAGCGTCGGCCTGCGGACTGAAGGGGCCCGGGTTCGATTCCGGTCAAGGGCATGTACCTGGGTTGCGGGCACATCCCCAGTAGGAGATGTGCAGGAGGCAGCTAATGGATGTCTCTCTCTCATCGATGTTTCTAACTCTCTATCTTTCTCCCTTCCTCTCTGTAAAAAATCAATAAAATATATTTAAAAAAAATATATAAGGGAATGTTTTTAGAAAGTTGTATTTGGAAAACCCTTAGTATGATACTGTAAATAGAGTCTATAAAGAAAGAAATGACAAATTTGGTTACATTAAAATGTTAACTTTAGTATAACAATAACAAAACAGGATGAAGAAAAAAATGGAGAAATGCAATATATGTTATAGATAAGAGAATACTAATATCTTTAGTATATGAGTAGCTATTACAAATTCAGTAAAAGGAAAATCTCTATGGTAAGAAAAAATAAGTAAAAGACATAAACAGAATTTTTTAGAAACAGTAGTGACTAACACATATAGAAAAAAACGAAGAAATAACTAAGTAGATGTAAACTACAACGACAAAATATTGGTGTTTACTTTTCTTGCTCTAATTGTGAATGGTTCAAAAGATCAGCAAGATACACTCCTGTTGGGTGTGTTTGTTGACACAACCTTGCCTGAGGGCTATTTGGTAGGTAGCTAACAAAAGTAAAAAACAGAAAAGAAAAAAAAAAAGCCAAGCTTCTGAACAATAAAGCCTAGGAATTTATCCTAAGGAAATAATAAGGCAAATTCACAAAGAATGTTCATTGTAGCAATGTTTATTACAGCAAAATTGGAAACAAACTAAATATCTACTAATAGGAAAATGGTTAAATAAATTAAGGTACATCCATAAAATAAAATATTAAGCAACTCCTTTAAAAGATTGTGTAGACATATTATTAGGAAAAATGTTTATCATTTATAAGTAAAAAACAAGTTACAAAAAGTATATTTTTGTAAATATAGGTACACAGAAAAAAATAAATTCCAAATGTACTTTGCTGAATTGTCCAAAATGTTTTATATTTTACTTTATCGGAACGAGCAATAACAATGTTTCCATTTGGGAAACCTGAGGCCCCAGGTCAGGGGTCCCTTTCCTCACTGCGTCTTCCTCGACCCTCCTCACCCACTCCCACCCCAGCTCTGTTCTGTGAGGTGGGGGACTGTGTCCCCAGCAGCCAGCTCTTTGAGGCCCTGGGCTCGGTTGATTTATCTCCCTCCGGTCCCCAGGGCCTGGCACTAACTAGTGCTCCGCGCACAAGAACGAGTGAAGGAATGCACGGCTTCGTTTTCTGAGGTTTCCCTGAAAGATCTGTGAATTGGAAGGAATCGAGGCGCCCGAAAGGCACTGGGTCTGATCCTACTCGGCCAGAGCTGAAGGCGAGAAGGAAAACACCTACGAGACCGAGTCGGATCTGGGTTCCCAACTCCCCGGAGGCGCAGCGGCATTGTGACCCCCGGGAAACGGCGCGTCGCTGAGCCTTAGCCGACAGGACCGCCTCGCTCCCCAAGGACTGCGAACGAAGCAGGACTGCACACCCCGAGCTCCTGGCAGAGCGGCGGTACACAGTAGGCGCTCTAAGTTAGCAGCTTACAGTTGGGCGATGGACAACACTCTCGCGCGTCGTCCCAGGCTCAGACGCGCCCCGCCAGGAGCGTGTGCGGACGGAAAGCCCCGCCACACCGGCCGGCGGCCTCCCGCGCGCGCACCGCAGGCGCCGGGGTGGTACCCAAAGCCGAGCCGACGCCGCCGGAGGCTGCGCCGGGGGTTCGGGCCGCGCCCTCGGAGCCTGAGCCTTCGCTCTCTCTCCTCTGGAGGCTGCCTGGCCCACACCTCGGTGGGAGCGGGGGATGGGGAGGCCCCAGGGCCCGGGAAGAGGCTGAGCACAGAGGGTCCCGCAGTCCCCGAGGGTGAGCGTGCGGAGATTGGCCGCAGCCCGCGCCTGGAACCGGGCAGAACGTGGGCCTCAGGGAGGGGGCCTCCCCTGGGTTCGAATTCTGCTCGCTCCCTACTGGTTGTAAGGTGTGGGGCAAATCACCGCACCGTCCTGTCCAGGGAGACAGTGGGACTTGCCTCCAGAGAGCCGGGCGACTGAAGATCTTTAGAGGAAGCGCGAGGCGCAGGGCCCCTCGCAGGGCGGCGCCCAAGAAGGCACCCGCCGCGCGGGACAGGTTCTGCGGGCTGCGGAACAGTGTCCGGTCCTTAGCCCTGGCCCTGGCCGCGTCCGTGGCTTTGACCGCGCAAAGGGGCCGTTGTTTGGTTTGGTTTGGGTTTTGCAGGCTCGGGGCGGGGGCGGGGACCGCAAACCAGGCTGCGCGTCGGTCAGCCCGGGGTGCCCGAGGCTCAGTCTTAGTTAACGTTGCTGGGAAGTTGATCCGGAGGAAAATGTGTGGCGTGTCTGTGTGTGTCTGTGTCTGTGTCTGTGTCTGTGTGTACAGGTGTGCGCGCGTCCACACGCGTGTTCGTACGTATAAGGGCGTCTGCGGTTGTCAGGAGGCTGGGTGCGCGGCGGCCCCCGGCCCCCTTTCCGCGGCAACCCCTTCCCGGTTCAGAGTTTCCGCCAAACTGACGGAATCTGGCGCGGCCCGGGGAGGGGTGGGGGCGGGAGGGGCGGTTCCGTCCCGGAGCCACTGGTTTGGGGATAATTACTTTTAATGTCAGAAAGATTTAGTTTAATATCATCTCTATTAGGGCTGCCGGGAGGGTAATTAAACGGGACGCGCTGCAGCCGGCAAACAGATGGCGTCTGCTTGCTCCGAGGCCGCGGACAAACAGCGCAAAAGTCAAAGCCTCGCGGGTGCCCGTCAGTGAGCGCTCCTTCTCAGGGCCACGGCGCCGCGCCGCCAGCCTCCTCGGCGCCCCTCACCCCGCAGGCTCACCTCGGGTCCCCACCGAGGGCTTCCCTTTCATCCCACCACTGCCTAGGGGAGGGGTGGTGGGGGTTGGGGCCAGCAATGAACGTGGGTGGAGGTGGATATTCGCGGCTGGGAGCCCTCACGGGGCCCCAGCCCCTGGCACAGCAAGGGCCTCAGCAAATGATCCTGAGCTAAGAGGACGTGCGAGGGAGCTTGTGCTTGTGCCCGCAGCTCCCTCGTTTGTCTGGGGAGGTCTGACTTCTCTCCCAGGGTCCAGCCACCTGCAGAGCGCTGGAGTGAGGTTAGGGCAGCGGAGGAGGAGGGCACAGTGTGTGAGCATATGCTCCTGGCTGGGTGGGAGTCTGCGGGCGTCTGGGTGAGAGGTCACACGCCAGGTGGATGTCCCGAGGTGGGCACGCTTACGAAAGTGCTGTGAATTCGATGGAACTCACTCAAGTGTCCTCTTGAGTGTGAGGGCAGCCTGCCAGGTGAGTGCACCCTGCCGGTAGGTAATTGCATGCAGGTATGGGGGTGTGTGCAGGGCTTTGCAGAATGAGGTCACAGGTGCAGGTGGTATGTTAGGATGGGAAGACACCCTCTGCTGTAAGTAGAGGGGGAGCTTCCCACCGCTGGTGGCTCAGCCGGACCACACCTTCCAGTCCGCTCCCCTCTTCCTGACTGGAGTCCAAACCAGCACCAGCCCCAGAGTGGCACGTGGAGGACCGAATGCAGTGACCTCGATCCAGGGCATTGCTCTACCTCTCTCGAGGACACATTCACTCACATGAGCACCCCAACTTTGGGGGCACCAGAAGAAAGGCTGTGGGTCTTGGACCTGGGGGCCTGTGAACAGGAGGAAAGAGGAGCCAGAGGCACCTGATGTAGGGGTGGGCAGATTCCCTCAGGTTGGGCTGGTTTCCAGGATGTGTCCTCCCCCACCCCCCTAAGAAAATGAGGCTCCTGAACACTAGTGAGAGAGCTTGAGGTTCCCAAGTCTGAATCCTCGGCTGGTTCCTGGGCCCCCGCAGGTTTACTCATTGAACTGGAGTGAGGATCTCACCGTGGCTTGGTGGTCTCAAGATGTGGACATGGGGTGTTTGGGCCACTGACCCCTGAAAGCCAGGCTGGTTTCTATAGTTCATCTCCTTTGAGGCTTAAAATAATTTCTGGCCCTGGCTGGTGTGACTCAGCTGGTTGGAGTCAGCACCCCTGATCTTGCCCTGGAAAGTTGCAGGTTCCATTCCAGCCATGGCACTTACCAAGGTTGGGGTTGAATCCTTGGTTGGGGCACCTACAGGAGGCAACCAAGTGTGTCTTTCTCTCACATCCATGTTTCTCTCTCTCTCTCCCTTCCTCTCTAAAATAAATTTTAAAAAATTAAAATAATAATGATTTCTGGAAAAACAGTCCAAGGAAGCTCTGAAAGGAGGAGCCTGGCTACTCCTTCCCAGGATCTGGCTTCGGTCTTCTCTTCCCACCCACTCCACACCCCGCAACTCCAGGACGCAGTTAACGCAAAGATTTCCCTGACTTGGAAGGAAAGCTGTTGGAAGGTGGGGCCTGGGTCCTATGCTAATGAAGAACGTATTATCCCAGACTCACTCCCTTACCCTCACTTCATGCGGGAGACCCTGGGGGGAGGCGGGGGTTGACCACTTTCTCTCTCTCAAATGCATTCTCAGGCTCCAGCAAGTGGAATTTGTCAGAAGCGAATGGTCTGGTTTCTACCCCTGTCATAGAATCTGTCCGGGTCAGAGTGCACCCATGCGCAGGCCTACTCAACTTTCTGGAAGCTCTGTGCCTTACCGCTGCGCACACCACCCTCTTCTCCCCCCACCCCCTCCCCACTCTGGTCCTGAGGTTTGGCTTCCCGGACGAACTCGCCCGGAGGAACTCGCCAGCGGCTCCTGGGTCTGCAGTGGGGCCAGGCTCCTCGCGCCCGCGCCTTTCTCTGAGATCCCCAGCCCTAGACCTCAGAGGCGGCTGGGCAGGTAGGGCGCCACCCAGTAGCCATGCTAAGTGGAAGCGGCTGCGTCCTGAGGCGCCTGAGCCGAGTGTGCACGCCCAGTCGGTCCACGCCCCGGTGGCTTCGGCCAGAACCCCGTGGCCCTGTGAGTTCGAAAGCACAGCGGGAAACGCGTGGTCTGGAGCAGAGGGAGAACAATGGGAAGACGCACTTGTCTGGCTAATTAAGCGAATTTTCATTGCTCTGAACGAAAGAGAAAAGTAGATAATAAACGTGAGAGTGGGAGACCATTAGAACAAGGAAAAGGGGGGGTTTTCCACAGAGAACCACAGATAGAGAAGCCCCAGGCGACCTCGCCCGAGGAGCGCAGCGTTAACCCCAGATGTTGCCTTACAAAAGGGAAACAAAATGCGAAACCTGTTACCTCTGCAGACTGAGCTGCAACGCAGGGCCCTGACGTGAGGACGGCAGAGTGAGGCAGAAGTTAAAACTACTCCTGGGGGCTGCGGCGACCTTGTCTCTGGGCCGAAGGATGGACACATGGGTGCGCGTCCGGCTTCCAAGAGGATCTGAGGAGACAGGGAGACCACTTTTTACTTTCGTTTAAAAAACAAAATCAAACTGTTTATTAATTTAAAACAACAACAAAAATAATCCCGCCACCATGGAAAAGAAATCTGGATGCTGCAAAGCGAGGGAAGGAAAGAGCAAGAGGGGAGAGGGCTGGGGTTCGGGCGGGGCGGAGCGGGGAGAGGCGCAAAGGAGAGGGAAAGGCGCCGCCGGCTCGGACGGGAGGCGCAATCTCATTTCTTCTCCCCAGGCTCCACTTTAAAAACAAAAACCCTATTAACCACACTTACCTTTGTGAGGCCTTATCGTATCAGAACATTTTAAACAATTTGCGCTTTAAAGGCTGCAGCAGAAAAAATCCAAACAGGCTCCTGACCACCCCAAATGCATCGGACTGGGGACGCGGAAACCGCCGGAAGGAAGCCGGAAAAGAGTCTCGGCACCTTCTCCGCGCGCGTTGCAACCCCGCCCCGATCGCGGTAATTGAAATGTCACCTGCCCCCATCTCGCCCCGGGCCGCCAGGGCCACTTGGGAAAGTGGGTCTTGCCTCGCGCCCCCGGCCAGGGAGAGCGGCGCGGCAGAGCCCGCACCCCAGAAACTGAGGGGTTACACAGGTCTACGTAGAGGCGCCACCCGACACGGTAATTAGGCGCAATTCACACGCTCTCCAGCGCGCGGAAACTACTTGTCACGATATGTTCAACGCTCCTTCTGGCCCACTTTTCTCCACTCCTCCCCGGCGCGCCCCTCCCTCCCGGAGGCACTCGGTGAAGCCTTAGGAGTTTCGAATCTTTCGGACACTGTAGAACGCGGGGCTCCCCGGGCGCGGGGCCGGCCAATCAGAGTGTCGTCTGCCTCCCCTGACCAATGGCAGGCGCCACATTGTTGTCCAATTCTGTCTAATGGAGCCCTGAGGAGCAACAATAGAGCGGGCGAGCGGCTCAGTGAGAATCTGGCAGCGCCGGGCAACTGAGGCCCGGCTGTGCGCAGCGTCCGGGGCGCTCCGCGAGGGGACGCGGCGCGGGGAGGGCAGGGTCGTGGGTTCCTGCCAACCGGTCCCCAGACGGTCCCCCGGCTCCAATTCCCGACGGAAGGGCTGGACCCCGCAGCGTCCAGAGGGGGTCCGGAAGTTGGGACATGGTGACCGAAAGAGGGTGACGTGGTCAGATAAGGAGCCAGGGGGCCAAGGGAAGAGGCCCGGGGCGCCAGCGTCGG